TCGCTGGGGCTCCGTGGCCGCGGGGCATCCTGGGAAACGGCCACGGGCCATCCCTTGGAGTTCCAGCCGCGGGGCATCCTGGGAGTTCCAGCCGCGGGGCATCCTTGGAGTTCCAGCCGCGGGGCATCCTGGGAGTTTCCAGCCGCGGAGCATCCTGAGAGTTTCCAGCCGCGGGGCATGCTGGGAGTTCCAGCCGCGGGGCATTCTGGGAGTTTCCAGCCGCGGGGCATGCTGGGAGTTCCAGCCGCAGGACATCCTAGAAGTTTCCAGCCGAGAGGCATCCTGGGAGTTCCCGCCACCTGCTGGGGGGGGGAGAGCGGGCGGAGCCTGCGAGGCCCAGCTCTGGCCAAACAGCAAGAATTTGGTTGCTTGCGGGGCGCTCTGTTCAGCGAGAAACCGAAAGCGCGTCTTCACTGTTGATCCAGGCGCACCCCCCGCCCTTTCGGGCCGCAGTCGCTTTGTCCCAGACTAAGAGCTGGTCCAGGCAGTGAAGCCATCGGCCTTCGTCTTTCTCTGTCCGACTGACTCACTTCTCATGAGATCGTCTCGGTCCAGCCACGTTGTCGCCAAGAGCAAGGTTTCATCCCGTGTGACGCGCACATTCCCTTGCCCCGTGCACCGCATCGTCTTGTCCAGTGGCCCGCCCATGGCCGCTGGGGCTGCTCCCATGTCTTGGCTGTTGTGAGCGATGCTGCAATGAACGCAGAGGTGCGTGTGTTGTTGTTTTTGTGAATCAGTGTGTTTGTTTTCTTCGGGTAAATACCCAGAAGTGGAATTTCTGGGTTGTATGGCAGCTCTGTTTCTCATTTTTGTGTGGAATCTCCATATTGTTTTCCCTATTAGTGGCTGTGAAACTTTTATACTCAACGTATATTTATCCCTGGCTGATGGCTCAGTTGGTTAGAGTGTTGTCCTGCTACAGGTTTCATCCCCTGTCAGGGCACATGCAAGAATCAACCAATAAATGCATAAATAAGTGGAACAGCAAACCGATCTCTCTCTCTCTCTCTCCCCCTTTCTTTCTCTTTCTAAAATCAATAAATAAAAATAAAAAAACCTTAAAGAAGTATATTATAGCCAGTGAGTATATAGTTGGGTCTTGTGTTTTTATTTAATCAGATGATCTCTACTTTTTACTAGCATTGATGTGATTGTGTTTAAATATGCCAGCCTGCTATTTATTTTCTATTTCTCCCAAATGTTTTTTTGTCTTTTTTTTGTTTTTCTTTCGGATTAATTGGTCTGTGTGTGTGTGTGTGTGTGCTTGTTCACACTTTCGTTTTATCTCCTCTGCTGACTTATTAGCTGTAACTGTTATTTCAGTGGGTTGCTTTAGGGCTATAGTATCCATCTTTAACTTAACTCAGTTTACCTGCAAGTGACATTATTCCACTTCACACACTGTGTAAGAGCCGTACTACAGTATGCTTTCACTTCT